TTAATCAACAGTCCAAACCCCACAGAGACTTTACAAAAACAACTGGATGCAGTGCAGATGTTCAACACTTTTTTTTTTATAAAACGCGGAGAGTAACATGATAGATTATCAAACTAGTTGGCGATTAATTGTCTTTAGATCGAATAATCGATGCAGTAGTCAGCTGTCACCTTATTTTTTTTACCTTATTGTAGGTCATGAATGATCAGTTTATAGGCTAAAGCCCCCCCATCACAATGCTCCGGCCTCCTTAAGTAGCCTGACAGACAGACAAACAAACCCGTTCACGTGTCTGTGCCAGCACTGCACACCGTGTCTCCTCCGTCTCTCTCCATCCGTGTTGTTTTTCTGTACCTTGACGCTGGCGTTGCTGGTCTGCGTCTCGGCCTCGATGCGGACGTGTCCCCCCCCGCTGTTCTCCTTCCGATCCCGGTGCGAGTTGTTGCGCGTCTGCCTGCCCTGGTAGGTGATGACGGAGGGGGGGGGGATGGTCTCGGCCGCATCGCTCTTGATGAAGAGCCCGTGCAGCGTGGCCGCGGTGCCCTGGGAGATGGTGGTGGTCTGATGCGGGGAGTTGGATTCGTCCGAGTCTCGGCAGTAGATCACCCCGCTTTGAGAGACGTGGATGCTGGGAGCGCAGCCCATCACCCCGGGGAGTCAGATCCCGGATAGTAAACGCGTCGGGTACCACCTTCCTGCCCGTCCACACAGGCGGATGTTTCCTCCGGGCATCGGCTGCTCTCTCTCTCTCCTCCACACACACCTCCGCTTGAGTGCTTGATTTTTTTTTTTAATTCATGCGTCCTCCACTGCTCCGAATCTTACATTTCGAGATCATATCTAGAACAAAAGGTGTTCCAGGATATAATCTAATCCTTTCCTGATGGCCTGTACCACCCGCCAGACGAATGAATCAAATGAATAAATGGACTAAACCACCTGGCAGCTTTTCATCACCCCTTTCCTCTCATCCTCAGTCATATATGCTGCATTTAAGGACCCCTGGAGAGTATCTGGATTTATGAAATCTCCTCTGTTTCTCCACTCTTTGCTTGCAGATGATCGGCCCCGGTCCATCCCCCCTCTCTCTTCCTCTCTCTCTCTCTCTCTCTCTCTCTCTCTCTCTCTGTATCCCCCCTCCTCCTCTCTCTGTCTCTCAAACATTATATCACTTCCATCTCTCCATCATGACCCTCTGATTCCCCCAGAGAGCTTTTTTTATACTCCTGGGGTCATTTTAAGCATCACTTTGCAGAATAATGATTTCAAAGTAATGGAGGTTTGATGAAAAACCTCTTATACAGCTATAAATACTTCCCTTCCGTCCTTGCAGATCATGTTTTCTCAACATGTCTTGACAACATGTGCATGTCTCACTTTAACTGTGTATCATGTCTATTTTTTGTGAATTTGTTTTTGTGTTTTTTTTGAGGATTATAAATTAATTTAGGCTGAGCAATGACATGACCAGATGTGAGTTGATAAAAAAAAAACGACAACAAGTGTCTGCAACTTTTTATTGGTAGCTCATTTGTACGCTCAATAAAATGCATGCAAGAATTGTAAAAGAAGACCAGAAAAATGTTTGGAATTTATTGCACAAAGAATCCCTTGAGGGCCCTTTTTTCTTTGCAGGAGGTGTTAGCAATGCTGCCCAAGTTGTCTGCAAAACCTTAATATTTATGTTTTTGAATGACTTGTTTTGTCAAAACCTTAAATTATTCAGCTTACCTATCATATAAATCATATCATATCATATATGACAAAGAGCAGCCCTCAGTTCTCCCCTCCTAGAAGCAGGCATCACAGACTGAAAAAGTGGATAAACACTCAAACGGTAATTGATTTGGAAATAAAAAGACAGATACATTATTTAATGCTGCACTCAAATAATGTCGTTTTTACGTCGTTGGATAAATGGTTTATATGGGTCGTTAGTAATAAAGGGCAGTTGCTTAGTCTGTCTGGGGGTAGCTGTTTTACGTCCCATTGTGGTTTTTGAAGTTTTGGAAATTGGATCCACTTCACTTCCTGGGCTCTGCCGAGGTTCTCTTGAGCAAAAACAACCCCCCCCTTCCCCCCAACAATACTCAGATGCTCTTTCACGAGCAGCCCCCTCACTCTGACATCACTCCGATAGTGAATGTCCACAGGTCCCGTCGGCCCACGTCTGTGTAGCAAATGGGGCTGGGGCCAGTTGTTTTGTCAGAGGGGAACATTAAACCCAGGTGAAAAATAGACAAAGATGATCGCTTTAAAAAAAATATATATTATGCCAAATAATAGTGCACATCATAAAATACCATGATTTATATTTGATTCAGTAACAGTATTCAATAGATTGTGAGTCCGGTTGTTGAGTCAAATTCCAGTGTGTTATTAGGGGGGCTCTTCCTTTTGGAGGGGTGCCACAGGGGGGACCAAGATTAGTGTTACAGGGTCACTGGCCCCTGTTGGCCCCTGCCTAGAACCGCCCATGAGCATGTCTCAACAACAGAGTGAAAAAATAAAGAAACTAATAAAACTGTATAAAAGTATTTCTTCTTCTTCTTCTTCTTCCATGATGACCTCTCAAAGAGTAAGATGATAATGTTGCATATTTTTCAACAAAACAAACTGAAATACAATACTTTGAAGGTGACACTATCCAGAGACAGACCAGTACAATCTCCTCTCAAAGGTTCTTCTGGTTTTATTATAATCAGTCTATTATAATACTTTAATGTTACTGCTGAACCTCCGGTTTCCAACCCTCGTTCCTAGATTGCGCTACTGCAATCGTAGACTGTAAATATAAACAGATGACGCGTCTGAGTGACGTCACCCATCTGTTCCTGCCGGGGGCTTTTGAGTCCCATCGATGGCGGTCTCCGTGCTGGAAATGCTGTCTCACCCTAACTTTCAGTCAACCTAACGACAGGCTGAGACGCGGAGCTGAGGCGGGTTTTAAGCCTCCTGATAATCTGTTACATCATGCCTGCCTGTCAGTCAGGTTAGACACGCCGTGTTGTGAATAACTCTTATCGTTCATAAAATCCAAACAGATTACTTCTAAAAAAAATTCAACGTATAAAGGTAAAAAGAGCAAAAACGCTAAACAGCGAGTTGCACAGTCACTCAATGCTGTTCTGCAGAGCAATACTGATCAACTGGAAGTACAAAAGTATTCACTGCTGTTTTTATTTACTGCCTTTTACAGACGGAAATACAAAGAGAGACAAAGTACAATTTAAAAAGCACAACATGGATTAAAATAGAACCGTCTATGAGTCATATCTGGGAATCAGTTGTTCAAACAGCCGAGCTAAAACATCGACATCCTATAGAGTCTGCTTCCATGTCTTTCATTTTAGATTTAAAAACATGTAAGGACACCAGCTCCTCGAGCTTTAAGTCATTCTGCAACAGATTCCAGGCTGAGGGTGCAGAATACCCAAAAGTCCTTTTCCCTGTTTCTGTCCGAGCGTTTGGGACAAAGAGCATAAAGAGGTCCTGAGAACGCAAAGAATACTGTCCAGTACTTTCCTGTGTGATAGAAACACATAGATAGAGAGGAAGCAGATCAAGAATTGCCTTATAAAGGTGTACCAGTGTATGAACCTACGGGTCGCCAAAGAGGGCCATCCAACCCGAGAGTACAACTCACAATGGTGAGTCAGAGCTTTACAATTTGTAATGAACCTCAAGGATGCATGGTCGGCTCTATCAACCATATGGAGACACGGAGCAGAGGCGTGCATGTACAAAAGATCACCATATTCTAAAACAGGTCAAAAAAAGCTGCAGCGACGAGCTGCTTTTTTTTACATTAAAAGAAAAACACAACTTGTTTCTAAAATAAAAACCCAGTTTCAGCCTCAGCTTTTTCACCAGACACAGTACATGTGGTTTAAAATGAAGGGAGTCATAAGAAAATTCAGATTTTGGAAACAGAATATATCACTGTCACTAAAGAGCTGTGATGTAAAAATAGTCATAATACCTCAAAATGTGAAGTGTAACATCACAGAGGACATTTCTTGAGGTAGGTATTTTTTAGATTTCATAGCCTACACTTTTGTACTTTTACTTGTAATAATTGAATACTTCTAGAGTACTGATTTTAAACTTATAAACAATAAAAGAGGATCTTAATACATATTCCAACACTCCCTATAGTACAAACTATTTCTTTCTGAGTCTTTCTGTGAAGCCTACAAAAGATGTCATTTAACACTCAGAACTGTTTGACCTCATGTTGACTCTGCACACCGCCCCCTGGTGGCAGGATGCACAAATTAAACAGCATGATTTTCACCATCACCTCAACGCAACAGCTGTATCGGTACACATTAGCTGAAAGGCAGATTTACCCAAAAAATATCATCATGCAAGACAGAGCTCACAATCCCACCAGTGTAATCATCCCTCAGATGTTTGGTGTCATAGAAACTTCCACACCACTAAAAATTCAGCAAGCTCACAACGTGAACAACCAATCACTGTCATAAAATAAATGCAGAAGTAGGCCTTATTAAAGCAGGTAATGCTTCAGCAGGCCTACTTTGATTCTGCTTCTTCTTTTTGTGAAGCTATTTCTGCTTTCATGATCTGTTGTTTATTCTTTATTGTCAATATCAGCTGCTCTCTTGATCAGGACTCCCTTGGGGAAAAAAAGCATCCTAATGAGGATATTCCTGGTAACATACAGGATGGAAGTAAGATTTTTCTGAGTATTGTTGTTAGTTTTCTAGAGTAGCAGTCAGTCTCAAGACGACAAATAAGAGTTTGGAAACTTTATTCTCAGCAATCAGATCTTCAGAAGTAGGCTCACTTCCTCTTCACGATCTGTTATTTATCAGAGCAGCACGTAACAGGCGATATGCGTGAGGGGGGTGCAGGACTTACAGAAAAGATGCACCAACACAGATAATGAGAGTTTGGTAAAAGTTCAGCTCATGTCGCAGTTTTTTCTCTTAAAGCACGAAGAGGCAGAAGTGAACGCACTGAGCTCTTCTTACCTTTCGAGGTCCGTTTGGGAATGACGCTTTCTCCTCTGACAGTCCACTCATGTCGTAAAAGCCACGCTGGTACAGTAAGTCCTTCAAAGTGAAACTGAAGTAATAAAAGGTACAGTAAGCTGGTGTCGATGATACTGAACATACATAGCCTTTAATATGACGTCTGTGTCTGACAGCCGCAGCAGTGAAACTCTCCGGGGGGAGATGGTTTCAAACTTCGTAACCTCCTCCCACTCACTGCGTGTCCGTGAGGCCCTAGTGTCCACAACGACTGGACAGATGATCACAAACACACATGCAGGTAGGCCCTCATGTCCACACAGTGACGATTCTAGAGTTAGTTGGGGCCCTAGGCAAAAAAAACAAACAAACAAGACGGATAAGTCTGTAGGAGAGAAAGTGGACAGCGAGAGTGAGTGCTGTCTGAGGGGGGTTTCCTACTGTCATTGCAAAATTTACACATTTTGGGCCACTGCTTCGGTTTAAGTTTGCAAGCCCTCAGGGGCCCACAAACCGGTTTGGGGCCCCAAGCAGTTGCCATGCCTGTTGACAAGCAGCGCTTATAGGTCCACAACAACTGGACAGGTGATCACAAACACACGGGCAGGTATTCATCTTTTAGTAGAAATGTAAAAACCATGAAAAGACTAATAGAAAAATACAGTTTAGGGAAAAACTACTCTGTCAGTATGAAGCTCTAATTGTACTCAAAAAGCGCAAACTGTGTGTTATATTATATTATATTTAGTTTTATTGGATGCAGTTTTATTTATTTTTTACTCAAATATGTATTTATTAGAATATTTTATTATTAATTAGTCTGTTTAAAAAAAAAATATATCATATTTTGGGTTGCTGCTTTGGTCCAAACTTTGTCAGCCCTCTGGGGCCCCCTACAGGTCTGCGGCCCCAAGCAGTTTCCCGCCTTGCCCGTTGTCAAGCAGCGCCCCTGAACCTTGAGGGATCCTGTATTTCCTGTAAAGAATGTATCCAATAGATACAGATTCATATCACATATATTTGAACTGTATTAAAGTTTAATGAAGTCAGATTCAGTCTGACATTTATTCTCCTTTTGCTTCACTTTTGTCACCGGCTAGTTGCTGGCTATCTGTCTTCTGTTTGATGCTTTAGGTACGTGGTGTACATGGGATTTATTAGAGCTTCATATGGAGTCTGAAAATGACCCTGATGTGAGCACTGAGACAAAAATAGTAAGTTTTTCAGGCTGTATGAACCAAAACAACGAGCCTAAAGAAGCTAAAACGCCCTAACAGGTTTACAAAGTGCTTTGACAAACAGCAAAAACAAGAACAAAGCAAACTAAAGCAAACACAAAAGAACATAAACAACAGCAAGAACATAACAAATGCAAAATACTAAAAATAATTAAATACAATTCAACAACAAGAACCAAAGTGCACGATACCCAACAGACATATATAACCCGACCATCACAAGAACCATGGCAAGAACCCAGGACACAGAAGAACCCAACAACACGAGCTGAGACCAAGAGAACCAAAGAGTTAAAAAGATGTAAGAAACTAAAAGAGCTAAAAGCAAATCAAAAGATAATAGCAATAAGAAGGTAAGAGCAGAAAAAGAAATAGAAACAAGTGAATAAATTATCAAAAAAACAAAAAAAAAACAATACATTTGTTGTAATGTTTAACTACAAAGATTAGATGCTGTAACTTTGGAAGGAAACTTATTAACACCAACTTTCATTGTAGATGTGTAGAATTCAATAAGCCAAAAAAAAAAGACTTTCCAAGGTGCAGAGATGCTCGTACAAATGAAATCATCCCCGGGCTGTGAGGTAGAATACATGGATTTTAATCTTTGGATTCCTGATCGGTCTGCACCAGCAGAGAACAATCACCTGACGGGTCACAGAGAGCATCGATTAGTCTCAGAGCGCCGAGGACGATTTCACAAATCAGGCAGCCTGTTTGGGGAGCATGCACATATTCATAAAGTGAGCGTATAGGGGGGAATGGGGGCCCGGTTACTTGTAAAAATCTTTCTTTTTCCTGAGAAGCTGCTTTTTCTACGACACAGTATCAACTGGAAGTTTTTCACCTCAGGAGCACTACTGGAGATGTTTCATAAACAAACAGAAAACACCTTTAGGCCTGAAATGCTCAGAATAGAACCCGGGTTACACAACACCCGGGGAGGAGGATTCAGAGAAATGTTGTGATGTTAGCTTTATCAACACGAGATCAGGAGGAATGTACAAACTTTAAAATAGCTCTGCAGAAAGAAAGAAGTCCAGAGGCGGGACGACAGGTCGGTCTAGTGCAGCAAGCTAAATGACATGCATGTAGAGAAATGTAAGAACAAGGAGCAAAAGTTAGTTAATCAGAATCTATATTAATTGCCAAGTACATTTACACATGCAAATCAGCAGAGCTTCTGATGACAACTTAAAAATATAAAACGCTATTTAAAAAATATATAAGACGGACTATAAAATATAAAAACACAAAAATGTGCAATAGAGAACTGTGTGTGTGTGCAGGTATGTTGTATTTAAATAAAGCTGAGGACAGTCTAACTTACTTTTTTTTTTTTTTTTAAAGTGAGACCCTAGATATGTTCAAATTTAAGGGTGTTAAACGTGAATTCATTGAAGGCAGCCGGAATAAGACTTGTGGCTGTAACAGTGTAAACACATGGTCCACTTCCTTTACTCTTATCTCTTTATTTGTACTCTCACATCATGTTACTATCACAGCTGAGGGGCTGAAGACTCAGAGGTTGTGAAATGATAAAAAAACAGACGACATTTGATAATTATTTTATATTTTATTAAAGAGTAATTATATTAAAAAAAGTATAGAGCTTGTTGTTTAATTTGTTGGAACTGAAGTTTGACCACCTTTTTTGTTTTTCATAGCTGATCCATCAAAAAAAGAACAGCCTATTTTCACCTTAGTAAGATATCTAAGATCAGGAATATCCTCAAAATGATGCAGAAAAACTAGTTCATGCATTTGTTACCTCCAGGTTGGATTATTGTAACTCTCTTTTATCAGGGTGCTCTGGTGGGTCTCTAAAGACTCTTCAACTGGTCTAGAACGCTGCAGCTCGTGTACTGACCAGAACTAAAAAAAGGGACCACATTACTCCTGTGTTGGCTTCTCTGCACTGGCTCCCTATACAGTCTAGAATAGAATTCAAGATCCTTCTTCTCACTTACAAAGCTCTAAATGGCCAGGCACAGTGCCGTAGCACTAGTAGCCCCTCGAGAACATTACGGTCCCAGAATGCAGGCCTGCTGGTGGTACCTACAGTCTCTAAGTGTACTATGGGCGGTAAAGCCTTCAGTTATCGGGCTCCTCTCCTCTGGAATCGTCTTCCAGCCGGGGTCCGGGAGGCAGACACAGTCTGTATTTTTAAGAATAGACTTAAAACTTTCCTTTTTGATAAATCTTATAGTTAGTGCTGGTGTAGACTAGCTCTTAGTTATGCTGCTATAGGCTTAGACTACCGGGGGAACTGGCACCTTGAGCTCCTCTCTCTCTCTCTCTCTCTGTGCATATACAGTTCATCATATTACTGCATGTATCTATCTGTAAATCTCAGTCACTAACCACCTACTTTCCTGGGAGCTCTTGAGCTCTCTTAGGCTCCTCAAGATCGTTGGTTGACGGCCTGCCAGAACACCCCCACCCCTCTTTTTACCTGCTCTTTTGTAATGTTAACAGACAAAGAGTAAGGTCTTTGATTGATTGATTGATTGATACATAAACTGTATAAAAGCCGAAGAAAATAAATGATTCAGTTTCTGTGCAGCGTCCTCAGCTGGCCAGCAGAGGGCGTGAGAGGTACAGCAGACAAGATCTGAACAGTTCACTACAACCTGAGATTTAGCCGTTTTCTTTTTTTAACAGGTCAACAGATATTCTGCTACCTCTGTAAGAACAAGAAAAAGTGAAATCATTATTATTATTGTCTATTTTTTTTTTTTAGTCTATGTTTTGTCATGCTGTCTTGTCTCCTTTTTGTATATTGTTGCTGTTTTTTGTTTTGTTTTGTTTTTTATACTGTCAATGTTATGTCTATATGTTTGTCTTTGTGTGTGTGTGTGTGTGTGTGTGTGTGTGTGTGTGTGTGTGTACTAAATGAAAATGCAAATAAAAAAATTGGTTAAAAAAAAAAGTGAAGGAGATGTAATGAAACACTATAAAGTGACATACTGAAATAAGATTGTCTTCATGGTAACATGTGACGCTCTTTTTTTCTCAGCTTAAAAGTGTTATTAGATGGAAACAAAGAAAACTGAAGAGAAACAGAAGCTGAGAATTAAAATCAAGTGATGTGAGAAGGTCGGTAATCGTACAACAATGACCTCTAGACTTTAATATAAACAGCAAAACAGCCACCAAACAATATTTTAAATTATTTTTTAGCAATAATTGTGAGATTTTAAAGGTATAAATGTTTAAAATAAATGTGAAATATATTCCGAGTAGACTCATAAAATCTGAAGATGCTGAATGTGTGTCCTCCGGTTTAACAGATTTCAGTCTCTTCTGCTCACCTCGCAGGATTGTGTAGCTTACCCTGTTATGACATAAGCAGGCCTTTGTTTTCATAAATCTGAATTATGCACGGCTGAACTGAATCCGCCTCACACACACAGGAGCCCACAGACACACACACAGACACACACACACACAGTACAGACTGCTTAGGTATACTTTGATGCATAAAGGAAGCTTTCACACCTGTTTGCAAACATACATGACGTCTGAGATCATGTGACTGTTACATATCAACTACAATCATTTTCACATGCTTTCTGCTGGATTGTTTTTCATTTTCATCAGGCAAATATGAAAACTCTGTTTCTGACAAAAATAGGCTCATTGATTTTCATGATTTCAACGAGGAAATCCTCAAATCGGTTTTATTTGTTATTTTCTACAAGACATATTTTTTTTTTGTGGTTTGAGCTACATGTAAACTTTGCCTAATGTCCATCTTTTTTTGGCTTGTTAATTTCTTTTCACGATCACTTTCTTAATTTGAAATGTGACCTATTTGGTTATTTAAGTTTCCATTTGACACTACACCATGATACAAATCTTAAAATGGTAACATTTGTTTGTAAGGGTCCCTTATAGCTAAGATATATCCGTTGCTATGAGCCAA